TCACATGACTGAACAAGAAGACTATGCCAGGCACTGCGCTAAGTGCTTTACTTATATCTCACTAAATCCTCACAATATCCCTGGGAGGTGGGTGCTATCATGATCCACATTTTACACTTGAGTAAATTGAGGCAGGCAGAGGTTCAGTGACTTGCCCAGGGCCCCAAAACAAGCAAATATCTGAAATTGGATTTAAATTAGCATCTTCCTGACTCCAGGCACAATGCTCTGTGCACTTTGGAGCTCCCTAGCACGCTGTAAGCTTCTTCACCTAGTCAAGTCCAGGACCTCATGTGTCCATGGGGCCAAGCTCCCCCACCTTGTCTTCTTCTCTCAGGCTTGATACACCAAGTTCCCTCAGGCCTCATTCCCCCTCCCCCTGCCCTAAAAAGAGGAGATCCCAGCTCAGCCATGTCCCCCTCCCTTCCCTGCTGGTGCTCCTTTCCCTTACCCCCTCCCACTCCCATCGTAAGAGTTGAGCCAAATGCTTCTCTCCCTTGAAAGGTCAAGGTTGGGGCTCAGCATCCTCTCTTGTTTCCAGTCTGTTTCTCCAGGTCTCAGTTTCTCTGAGTCTCTATGTTTCTGTTTCTGTGACTTTCTCAATTCCAATCTCTTTCACTCTGCATGACCCAGTTCCTCATGAGGGTAGGTCTTGTAGGGGAGTTATATGAAAGGGTGCACCCTAATGAGACCAAATCAGGGGAAGGGGACACATCATCTGACACACATGCACATCACACACAAACCACACATGTCACACGACATGCATACTGAGTACACACACACATGCATCAAACACTGATCTGTGAAATATCATGACTGTGAGAGATCATTCAGCCTTCATTTGATTCCTCCAGTGACAATGACCTTACTCTTTCCTCAATGATTTCAGGTCCCATATTTCAGGTCACATATTCATGTACCTGGGTGTGATCATGTGATTTTAAAAAACTTTTATTATTTATATAATTAATCATGTTGATAGTTTTCCTTATGTTAAACCATCCCTGCCTTCCTGGTATGAATCCCACTCGGTCATAACGTATGATCTTTGTAATATATTTCTGTGATCTTTTAGCTAGTGTTTTATTTAGGATTTGTGCATCCATATTCATTAATGAAATTAGTCTATAATTTTCTTTCTGTTTTTACTCTTCCTGGTTTAGTTATAAGTATCATATTTGTTTCATCAAAGGAGTTTGGTGAGATCCCTTCTTTGCCTCTTATTCCAAATAATTTATTTAATATTGGAATTACGTGCTCTTTAAATGTTTGATAAGATTCACTTGTAAATCTGTCTAGTCCTGGTGCTTTTTCTTAGGAAGCTCATTTATGGCCTGCTCAATTTCTGTTTTCTAAAATAGGCATATTTACATACTCTATTTCCTCTTCTGCTAAAAATCCATGCAATTTATATATTTAAAATATTCTTCATTTCACTTAAATTGTTAAATTTGTTGTCATATAATTGGGCAAAATATTTTCATCAGTGGTAGATTCACACTTTTCCTTTTTCATACTAGTGATTTGGTTTTATTCTCCATTTTTTAATCAAATTAACCAATTATTTATCTACTTTATTAGTTTTTTCTTAAAATCAATTCTTAGTTTTATTTATTAATTCAATGGACTTTTTACAACTAATGTGATAAATCTCATTTTAAATTTTAGGATTATCAAGTAAGAGTTTAATTGGGGATTTTTAATTTGTTCTTTTTCTGGTTTTTTTTTTAATTTCATACCCCATTCGTTGGTCCTCTCTTTATTTTATTGATGTATTTAGAGATATAAATTTTCTTCTAACTCTTGCTTCTACTGTATTTCATAGGTCTTGGTATGTTGTCTCAGTATTTGGCATTTTCTTTAATGAAATTATTGTTTCTATGACTTGTTCTTAAACCCATTCATTCTTTAAGATTGGGTTGTTTAATCTCCAATTAGTTTTTAATCTATGTTTCTGTAGTCCCTTATTAAATATAATTTTATTGAATTTGCTTTAAAAGAGATTCTTTTAATATTTATGATTTTCTGATTTTAACTGTAACATTTTTATGCCTTAATATATGGTCAGTCTTTGTAAAGGTACCATAAATTGCTCAGAAAAAAATGTGCATTTCTTTTTCCATTCCCTTCTCTCCAGATATGCATCATGTCTACTTTATCTAAGATTTGATTCATTTCCTTAATGTGTTTCTTATTTATTTTTGGTTAGATTTATCAAGTTCTGAGACAGGAATATTAAAGTGCCCCACTATTTCAGTACCACCATCTCTCTTAACCTCTAATTCATTTAACTTTTTTTAAAATTTAGATGCTATTGTATTTGGTGCATATAAGTTAAGTATTGATATTGCTCCATTGTTGATAGTATCTTTTATGAAAATATAGTTACCTTGCTTATGTCTTTTAATTAAATCTATTTTAGCCTTAACTTTGTCTGAGATCGTGATTGCTACCCTTGCCTTTTTTGCATCAAGTAAAGCACAATAAATTCTATGCCCACCCTCCATTTTAACTGGGTATGTATCTCCATTTTTAAATGTGTTTCTTCTAAACAACATATTTTTGGATTCTGGTTTTTGAACCATTTTGCTATCCATTTTCCATTTTAACTTACCTAGCAAAATTGAGTATAATCCTTACTTTTTTTAAAAAATGGAAATTTAATGAACTAAACAACTTTGAGGTATTTATTACAAAAAAGATAGAATGAAATGGGACAATTGATAAGGAAGATCCAAAAGAAATGTATGGAAAACATTAAAGATTAATTATAAAGACTCATTAAGGTCAAACAGTTTACTCCTTAAGTATGAAAATTTTGTCAGCGTTCTTAAGACTGTCATCATTACTAGAGTGGTTTGAAAGAAAGTTTGGGGCTGAGTTGAGTATGATGGGTGATTCTGAAAAACAAAATAGGGTAGGAAAAAGTAAAAAGGAGCAATTATCTCATAAAAATGGGTCATGAAAGGAAGACATGATATAGAGAAAATAGGTAGCGTTAGAGGACTGGTAGTGCTGGAACCTTACTTTTATGGGATCTGGGTTAAAGAAGGAAAGATATCTCTCTTTTCTCTCAGCCTGGATGGTGGCAGTGTGGATAAGTGCTATGGTCTTCATACTACAAGAAAGCTCTGAAGCCACAGAAGAGACCAAAAGTGGCATGACAAACAGTACAAGAAAGCTCATTTGGGCACTGCCTTGAAGGCCAACCAATTTGGGGAAGCATCTCATGTAAAAGGGATTTTGCCACCAGGAACTGTACGTGATCCCAGCTGATTAACAACAGAAAAAAAAAAAAATCACTGCCTTTGTTCCCAATGATGGCTGCTTGAATTTTAATGAGGAAAATGATAAAATTTTGGTTGCTGGACTCAGGCAAAAAGGTCATGCTGTTGATGATATTCCTGGAGTCTGATTCAAGGTCATAAAAATTGCAAATGTTTCTCTTCTGGTCTTGTACAAAGGCAAGAAGGAAAGACTGGGATCATAAGAATTGTCTGACGTCATTGTCACAGTAAAAAAAAAATTTCATGTAACAAAAAAAAGGAAAGATATAAAAGGCTATTAAAAGTCCTCTAAATTTATAAAGAAATAAGAAGATGAGGGGACAGAAAAAGGGAGGGACTTTTAGGAGGCTATATAGATTAAGCTTTAGGAGGGTTGGGAGGTCATAAGGGTGAGACTCTTAATGGGGTGGGTAGAAGGGCAATAGTGAGTAAAAATAGGATGGAGGGAAATTTCCAAATAGGAATTAAACTTTGAATGTAAAATAATCCATTTTGATGTCAATGATATGTAACCTAGAGGAGAGTTTGTTTTGAGCTCTATATGTGGAACAAATCCATTCAGCATAGCTTTGGCTACTGTGAGAGATAATCAATAAAATCCTCAAGCCATCAGCATTTCCTGTATGTTCTTCTATGTGGTTCCAATGGACACCAACAGGAAGGATAATATAAAAAATATTAAAAAGCTGAAGCTAAGGAAATCAACAATCCTGACACCAGCAGTTAGTCATGTTGTGTACTGGTCATGTTTCTGGTTTGGCAGGAGGTGAAGCCCTGGTGATGCATTCTCTTCCCCTCTGCCCACTCTCAGTAGAATATCTGCTACCACATGGCAGGGACAGTTTCATTGTCTTTCTATTCCCAGCATAAAGCCTAATGGTGAAAATTATTCTTGCTCCAGTATCTCAAAATAGTAAGTATTGAGCACATACTTGCTGCAGTTTGGTACAGAAAAATAATAAAAAAAGATTATTGCATGTCCTTCCCTTCTTTCCACAGAGTGACTCTGGGTATGTATACTGTTTGACTCAATTCATATGATGGCTGGTCATACTGAAGTATTTTTCTCTTTCAATTTTATTGTTTCATTTAAAAAACTGGACTCTTAGGGCAGCTAGGTGGTGAAGTGGATAGAGCTCCAGCCTTGGAGTCAGGAGGACCTGAGTTCAAATCTAGACTCAGACATATATCACTTACTAGCTGTGTGACACTGGGCAAGTCACTTAACCCTGATTGCCTCAGCAAAAAAAAAAAATTAATTAAAAAAAATAAAAAACTGGACTCTGAATGGGGGGATATGCCATTGAACAATAAGTGATTTAAAAGAAAAAATATTGATAGAAATTTTTAAAATGTGAATAAAAGAATAAATGAGTTCATGAATAAATAAAAAAGTAAATGAATAAATAAATGCATGCATACATCCACAAATTAATAAATACATGTCTGTTACATTGAATTAAATGGATCAGCCCACCTTTAGTTTGGTCTACCAGAGTCATACAAGAAAGGCAAGCCCCCAGGTACTCTTCTACGGTCTAAACAAAGAGGTGAAAAGAGAAGGAAATGAAATGTGGACTGCAGCCTGATCAGAGAAAAGAGGAGGCAAGTGCATTGCCAGTCACCTCCAGGAACCTCCTTTCTATACCCCCCTATCACAGGAGAAAGGGGAAAGCAAAGAATTAAACTAGCATTTATTAAGCTCCTACCATGTGCCAGGTACTGTGTTAAATACTTTGTACGTATTGTCACATTTAATTGAAGAACCCTGTGAGGTAGGTGCTGCTATTAGCCCCATTTTACAACTGAGAAGCTTAACAGATGTTAAGTGACTTGTCTAGGGTCACACAGCTAGTCAGCATCTGACATGAAATTTGAACTCATTTCTTACTCTAGGCCCACTGTTCTGTGGTGCCACCTAGCTGCCCCCAAGAGAGAGGAAGTGGGGAAGACCTGAAGTTATTGTTGTTCAGTCTTTTCAGTGATGTCCATACCTTCATGAACCCATTTGTGATTTTCTTAGCAGAGATACAGGAGTGGTTTCACCATTTCCTGCTCAGCTCATGTTACAGAAGAAGAAATGAGGCAAACAGCCCAGGGTCACATAGATAGTAAGTATCTGAGGCCAGATTTGAACTCAGGAACATGAGTCTTCCTGACTCCAAGCCAGGTACTCTATGCACTGTGCCATCTAGCTCTGCCTTTTGAAGTTAGAGAGACAAGTAAATCTCTGGAAAAGTCCTTGATGCATTTGCTTGACTTTGCATCCCCAGGACATCAGAAAGGAGCTTCCTGGGGCTGAGACCAACCACCATGGCTGTGTCCCCTACACCTGGGCAGTGGGAACATGGCCATGATAACTCCACTGAGAGAAGAGCAGATGGGACTTTAGTTCCTGGTGCTGAGACACCTGGAAAACTTGGCTTAAGTGACTGGATGTATGTCCTCACTCTGCTCATTGTCATAGTTGGGTTGGCATTGTTCTGTGGCTCCTGGGCTCCCATACCCAGAGGAACCCCTTCTCCTTCTACATCCTCAGTCTGGCTGGGGCCCATACCCTCTAATGTTGCAGCCTCTTTTTGCTCCTCATCCAGGGATTTGTTGGGTATTTTAATTATTCTGTCATGTATGTAGGAGTGACCTATATCACATTCATGTACTGCCGTGGGGGCCTGAGCCTCCTGGCTTCAATCAGCACTGAGCACTGTCCATTCATCCTCTTCCCAGTCTGGTACCTATCATGCTGCCCCAAGCACACCTCCCTCTGTGTGTGCTGTCCTCTGGGCTCTAGCGGGGCTGCTATGCACAGCAAATTATATCTGTTGTGTTTCTATCTACAATAAGTGTTTCTGTCCTGACTTCTTCATCATCCTGTATGGCTCCTCCTCCTCATTTTTGTGCTGTGCAGCCTGACGCTGCAGCTGAGGGTCCAGTGCAGCTCCCAGGGCCAGCAGCCTGCCAGGCTTTACCTCCTGGTCCTGCTCACGATCCTCGTGTTCCTGCTTTGTGGCCTTTCCATGGGGATCAAAGGTGTAATACAGCCGTTTGGGTTTAGATACCGCACCTAATTGGTTCCGTCTGCTCCTGGCCTCTGTGAACAGCAGTGCAAATGCCTTCATTTGCTACTACCTGAGCAGCAGAAGGCATAGAAGGGGGAGGAAGCCCCTGAGGGTGGTCTTCCAGAGGGCCTTGGGGGATGAGCAGGAATTGGAGGTGGAGAAAAGGCCATACCCCCCATACCAACAGCTCGAAGACTTCTTCCTGAGGCTAAGAACAAGACGCTGAGAGACATGGAAGCCCATGAGATGAGTCCTCTGCCGCAGGCCCAGCTGTAGCCGCCTCCCACCTGCAAGTGGAACCAGAATTTCCCCACAATCCTCTATATTGGTGCCTGGGGTTTGAACTCTAAGTAATTTATTTATTTACTTAATCATTTATTAAGTACCTGCTGCATGCCAGGCGCTGTACTAATCACTTTATAAATATTTCATTTAGGGACAGCTAGGTGGGGCAGTAAATAGAGTACTGTCCCTGGAGTCAGGAAGACCTGAGTTCAAATTCAGCCTCAGACACTTGACTCTTACTAGCTGTGTGACCATGGACAAGTCACTTAACCCCAATTGCCTAAAAAGAAAAAAAATCATTTTCAGTATCTTTTCAGGAATAATTTGGTATTTCATCATTCTTTTTCATGAATGCAAGTATCATTTAATATGAGTGATTTCATGACATATTGGTGAGTCAGCTTTTCAGCTGAGAATTTTCACTGTAGCTCATGTGCATCATAGACCTCATCAAATATTTCTCTCTGATATAACATCATGCCCCTATTTGCTGAAGATCCTCCCACCAAGCTTTCCAATGATCATGGTCTAAAGGAAGACAAGGACTGGACCCCAAACAGACTTGGGGTGTGGCAGCCTCATTACCAGACAAAAAATATTTAGAAGGTGGAGGTTGTTTTTTTTTTCCAGTTATCCCCACTTTATCCAAATTGGCCTGTTTAATCCTACTCAGGGAAGACCATGGGGATGGGATGGGGACCAGATCTTCTCCATGTCTGAGGAAACTTAAGTAAAATGGCCTTATGATGCAGCACAAAGGTAAGCTGGGCACAAGGATGACAACTTGCCTGAAGCTGAATGTTTAACATTGCAGTGAATTGTCAACCAGTGACTTGGATTTAAGTGAGGCAGGGCTGTGCACAGTCCCTAGCCTCACTTTCTCCTCTGGAGCCATCTGCTTCCAGTGGCCAGATATGGATGAGGACAACTGTTACTGGCCCAGGATGCAGTGGGGGCCCTTGGTCTTCTCAAGCTAAGGTCTTCAACAGGTCTCAGTTTGACTGAGGCTGTGCCCATTCAGTGATTAAGGCTTAACAAGAAATGAGGCAAAGAACGCCCTCTTTAAAAAATAAATCAGGGAAGGGAAGACCCTCAGGGTTTGGAACCAAAACAGAAACAAATCACTGAATGGACGCTGCCTCAGTCAGACTGAGACCTGTTAAAGACCTCAGCTTGAAATGGCCAAGGTTCCCCACTGCATCCTGGGTCATCTTCTGTTTTCCTGATCCATATCTGGCCCCTGCACTCAGATGGCTCTGGAGGATAAAGTGAGGGAGATGACTTTGCAGAACACTGCCTCACTTAAATCCAATTCACTTACATGTCAGGGCATCACCTCCCTGATGTCATGGTCCTCTTTGAGAACTAAGGACAAACAGCAACACAATTACCAAAAAAAGGACACCAGCGTGCTCTGATCACCTCCAAAAGCATTTCAGATTGAGGACAAGACGAGATTTGTTCAGGGATTTGTGTGTGTGTGACTCAGGGGGATGAATGAGAGAGTCCCCATACCCTATAGCTCCTCATCTCTGCTTTGGGAAGAGGCAGTCAGATGTGGCATGAAGAGACTCTGCATGTAAGCCCAGCTCTTACCACAGAAAATACCTAGAGCCACTCCATACCCAGACTTCTCTGGCATTTAAGAAGAGAAGGAAATTTCTGCACAGACTTGAAAAGCCTCTCTAGATGTCAGCTACTGTTATCAGTACTATGATAAATGTTCTTGGCCTAATTCCATCTCCACCAGCAGAGTGGAGGCATCTTTCAGAGGGGTTAGACATACAGCCCCAGGGCCCAGGGCTGCATGGTCCAAACCTGATTAAATTGTCATCAGGAAATGTTGAACAAAATAAATAAAAACACAACACAACCTAAACAATGTTAAATTTCTGTTTTTCTAAGTCAGTATGTGACTCTCAGGCATCAGTTTCTGCTTCAGTTTGACATCACTTTGAAGATTCTATTGGTGCCTGGAGAGAGTGGAGGCCATTGATGACCAAGGGAGCTGTCATGACCATGTATGGATTCAAATACAAATCTTTTCTGTCCTCTACATTGTGTCTGTTTCTTGTTTTGTTTTTGATCACGTTAACTAAAGCTTGTCCTGTGATCCCTGTATTGCTAGGCCGCATCTTCCCATGGGGACTAAGGCCCCTTTGCTTTCTTAATACCCAAGATGGCCTGAGTCAGTGGTTTCTGGAGGAAATCCTGGTTGGGTAACTCAGACCAAAAAAATTGTGGCAAATCACCACCATTGAATTGTATCCTTCTACAGCCAGAAGAGTCATTCGTTTTGGGATGCAGGTAACACCTCTCTGTATGTCTAAGTGTTGAATAAGGGCTTGGATCAAGGAAGCCAGAGAGTCCTCTCATTAGCACTTAATGGATACTTAGAGTTGAAAAATTTCCTTCCTATTATCCTAAGTCATGAGTAGGGTAATTACCTCCAAGAAAAGAATCTTTGGAAAGATCTCTCCCTGGATAAAGCAGTTTGTTGTTGTTGTTTTCATTTTGTTTTTAACTTATGGAATAAAACAAGAATCTTCATAACATAGTACAATAAAAAAAAGAAAGACCATCATACACAAAACTGCCAATCTACTATGTACAACCTGCTATTCCTTTCAAATATACAACAAACTTATTACATTTATTTTTCTTCCCTCCCCATCTCCTGCCCTAGAGATGGCTACCATTAGCCATATATATATATATACATAGTGGACCCCTCCCCAATCTGTTCTGAGCCATTTTGATCTTAACCTACCATAATGCTTTGCACATTCTGGCGTAACAGACATGCTTTGCTGTGCTCTCTGAGTAAACCCAAAATGCCCCTTCCTGTGTCAGCAGCTACAAGGCCAAATGAAGCTGACCAGAAGCATTTTTCTTTTTATGAGTACCAAGGACAAGGCGCCTTGAACCAGACACTATCTTAAATAATGGGACTTTTCTTTTCTTGGTATTTTATGGATATATGCTATGTTATGTTATGTTATGTCATGTTAAATGATAGAAGAAGCACAGGCATCCTGGGTCTATAATTTCAATTGACACTTTTAACACTTCTTCTATCTTATTGTATCCAATTAAGAAAATTCCTTTCTCATGTTTTGGTTAAACACATATGAAGACCATAATTTTAGATGATGCAGACACCCTAAGTAGGGATTGCTTTAAGTATATAAAAAGTCTTCCTCACCCTGCTTATCTTTGAGTCAGAATTATTTTCTGCCTCTGATGTATACATGTATTCTGCTAGCTTAAGGGAATAAACAGTATATAAATATATATCACCTAGCTTGTTTGCCTCTTTTAACCAGACTTTCAAGTTGACAATACATACATGCATACCTACGTACATACATACACATGTGTGTGTATGTAAAATTATTCAATACATACTTCTATTTATCAGTTATTTCTCTGGATTCAGAAAGTATGTTTCTTCATACATTATTTATAGTTAATTTGGGTATTTGTAACAGTCAAAATAACTTATTCACTCAAAGTCATTCTTAAAACAATAGTGCTGTTACTGCATACAGTGGTCTCTCGGTTCTGCTCATTTCACTTCTCATTATTTTGTACAAGTCTTTCCATGTTTTCTCACCATTTCACAGTAGTATTCCATCACAATCATGTGGCACAACTTGTTCAGCCATTACCCAATCAATGGACGTTTTTGACATTTCCAGTTCTTTGCCACCACAAAGAGAGCTGCTATAAACGTTTTAGAATATGTAGGTTCTTTTCCTTTTTCCCTCATCATCTTGGGAAATTGACCGAGTAGTGGTATTGCTGGGTCAAAGGGTATAGATAGTTTAATAACTCTTTGGGCATAATTCCAGGTTGCTCTTGACAAGGCATTTTGTTACAACAAATGGGCTTCATTCATGTCCAGTGGAAGAAGAGAGGGGCATCCATCCAATGGTCTCACTGTTTCTTAAAATGGGAATCTTTCTAGATCTACCTACTTATCTAAGCAACTAGGTACTACAGGGGATAGAGCACTGGGACTAGAGTCAAAAAGACCTGAGTTCAAATCCAACCACAGATTCTAGCTAGGGGACTCTGGACAAGTCACTAAAACTCTTCCTGCCTCAATTTGCCAACTATAAAATAATGATAATAATGGCACCTACCTTACACGGGTGTGGTTAGGATCGAGTGGAATAATATTTGTAAAATCTTTAGCATAGTGCCTGGCACATAATAGGCACTATATTAGTATTTATTCTCTTTCCCTTTTCCTCTCTCTCTGTCTCTCTTTCTCTCTGTCTGTCTTTCTCTCTCTCAACATATATGTGTATGTGTGTATACATATATAACTGAAATTTTTTTTAAAAATACTATTTCCCTTCTCAAATTAAATAATTGCTCTTTGATCTACACACTGGGTGAAAGGGACAGAGAGAATGAGGAGAGAGAATGGAAATAAACATTCATTATGCACCTACTATGTCCTAGGCACTGAGCTAAGTACTTCATAAATTTTATCTTGTTTGATCCACGCAACAATCCTGGGAAATAGATAACATTATAATCCCCATGTTACAATTGAGGAAACTGAGACAGAGGTTAAGTGACTTGTGTAAGGTCAACCAGGAAGTGTCGGAGACTAGATTTGAACTCAGGCAGGTCTTCCTAAGCCCAGGCCCAGCACTCTACCCACAGTACCATCTAGCTGCCACACCAGCAGTAACACCTGACCAGTTCAA